GAGTAATAAATGCACAATTAAATTGGATTAGCATAGTTCTGGGGGTGGCTGAAGGAATTTACAGAAGACAGAAGATCCATCTTGGGTGTGAGTAGCTTATAGCCTGAGTGGAATAAAAGGGAAACAAAGAAGGAAAATTCACTTTTGTTTCTTCAGAGCAGCTCCAGTCTTCACTTTTGCCCTGGCCGTCGTCTCCTAGCTTTCCATACAGACTCTTCGGACATCCAGAGCAGACCCTTCAGCCTTCCGTCACAGGCCCTTTGGCCTCCTGACATGGGATACTACAGTGAGTTCTAGGCCTTGGAGCTCTGATTAGATCCTTCAGATCTTCAGTGTGCACACAGTTCTTTTGCACTTTTTCACACCTGATTCAGTGGGCAGCCATTGTGAGCCTACCTTGTAAATCCTTATATAGTAATATATCATGCATTCAATCTTTTTCTCTAGTGAGCTCTGACTGATCACCACTCATCTGAAGCCCAGGAGAATAATGGATAGATAGAAGTCTGGGGGTGGGGGCACTTTTCTGAATGATGTTCCAACAATACACAAAGTATTCATTGAGATACATCAATGCAGTAATTCTTTGGATTAAAACAAGTTAGAGGGTAAGTGATAGGCATTGTTTAAGAATTTCTCCTGGGGCCAAATTCCCCTGGATCAGGACAGTTGAATTTTGGAGTTGCCCAACAACTTCCTCAAAAAGATATCTGTTTAGTTTGTCAGTACTTGTTTCCTGGCTTTAACAAGCACGGTGCAAGTGTGCAATCCAGGTATATAAAACTTTTGAACTGTGACAATGATAACAACTGTTGGAAACCTTACGATATTCCAGTCATCTCGTTTCCCCAAGAATTCTTCAATAGTTTGCTTTCCCTTTCTCAGTTAATATATTGAATCCTTTAAGAAAAAGCCACATGGTTAGTAGAACTTTGTCTCTTATCAGCAAAGGCCATTCAGATGGCTCACTAGTAATAAATGGTTACCAGTAATAACCTATTAGTAATAATACTAGTAATACTAGTAATAAAAGGCCCAAGATGGGATATTTCATCCCTTCACTTTGTGAATGTCAGTACAGTGTTTCTTCCCATTGTCCACCTCAAATAAATTTTATCTTTTCTGCATTGTTTTTCCATTTAGAAAATATCAGCCTTTATAGTTACAATTCTATGATTTCAAAAAAGAAACAAAGTTAAGGGCTACAACAGAATGAACATGTCCCTCCAAATTCTACGCTGAAATCCTAACTCCCAATGTACTAGTTGCTGGGGGTTTGGGGAGTGAATTAGTTATGAGGGTAGACCCTTCATGAATGGGATTAGTGCTTTCTAAGAGTTCCTCCAGAGAGCTACTTCACCCTGTCTTCTACTGTGTGAGAATATGTTATGGTTTGGGTCTGGATGTCCCCACAAAGCCTCATTCAATCAAAGGTAGCTGAATCTGGAATGTGTGATGCTGGGATTAAGGTTGTATGAGTGAGTGGTTTAGCACTGCCTTAATTCCAGTAGTCTGGATGGGATAAAACAGACATAAAGACAAGTGAAGCTTCCTTGTAACCTTTGCTGCCCTGTGCATGCCATGTTGTTTCTCTGTGATGCCTCCTCTACGACTCTGTCTTGGAGCCAGCTGATTATGGACTGAAAACTCTACAAACTGTAAGCGAAATAAACCCTTTCCCTCTATAGCTCTTGGTGCCAGGTATTTTGTCTCAACTGTGAGAAGAAAGTAACTAACACAGAATATAAGTCAGCAGTCTGTAACCCAGAAGAGGTTCTTCACAACCTGACCATGCTGACACCTTCATCTCAGACTTTCGACTGCTAAAAATCCTAGAAAATAAATTTCACTAGTCTATGGTACCTTGTTATAGCTCTCCAAACCAATTAAGAAATGTACAGCAAAAATGTCAGACTTATTTGAAATTTGAATCTATTATAATTCTTTTGGCTTTGTGTATAATATTTTGATGTAATCTATAATGGAATTTTAAAATGAAAAGGACAGTTGTCCCAAGAATCTGTCAATTACATTCATTTTATATTAATTTAAATTTAACAATTTATTTTAGAAAAGTTTACTATACACCTAATATGTGCTGGATGTTTATCAAGTGTTATCACTGGGATGTTCTTAATGAAAACCAAAGCCTAAACCCTGGTCCATTTGAATCTGTCAGGAATTCAGCTGAGCTGGGAGGATGAAAACTGTCAGAGTAGTCAATGGAAGCAACAGTTAAAAGTGATTAAAGCGTGGTTTTTAATCACTTCTTACAATGACATAAGCAAGACTCTAAAGCCAGAGAAAGTGCTGACTCCCCATTTTATTTCCCAAGAGTTAAGTGGATGTCATAGTGGACAAGAGTCAGATGCCTCAGCACAGATTTAAGGCTCTTGGGCAAACATTCTGGTAGTTTCATGGATCTTGAAGTAGATGTGGAGGACAAGGAGTGGAAAATTCTTCACACTGAGTCACAGTGAAGAAGACTGATATTGTTTAGTCTGGATCCCCACCCCACCCCAAGGCCTCATATGATCATAGGTGGTTTTTTCAGAGGTGGCTGAATCTAAATTGTGGTTGATTCATGGGGCAATGCTAGGCTCAAGGGCACTAGGATTAAGGGTGTGAGTGCTACCCACCCTAAGTAGTCTGGTTAAGACTGAGATGCTGGGATTAAAGAAATGTGATTACTAAACCAGTACACTGATTGGTTTGGCACTGCCCTAATCCTGGTAGTCTAGATAGGTAAAAGGATCAGGAAGACACTGTTGAGGTCCTTTGATGCTACCTTTGGTCTGCCATGAACTGTTTCTCCTCGGCGATGCCCCCCTGCCATGTGCTACTCTGCCTTGGAGCCAGGTGATTAAGGGTTAAAACCTCTACAAACTGTGAGCTAAATAAATACTTTAAATTTGAGTGTCAGGTATTTTGTTTCAGCAATGAGAGAAAAGTAACTAAAAAGGATCTTAGCCAAAGTACCTGAAGATAACTTCTACCCAATAGAAACCTAAGTATGAAGGTATCAGGGCTAGGAATATAAAGAATTGAAGAATCTAATCAGCCTTGGGGTCCTGCCAGGTAATGATAACCTGTAATAAGGTATTTACAGGAGACCAACTCTTCACTAACATTTTGGACAGTATACAAATAAAACATGATGTATTAGATAGTGGTAAGTGATAAGCAAAAAAAAAAAAAATAGACAAAGCAGGGAGAGGAAGCAGATAGAGAATAGGCAAGTCGGGCGAAATGTGATAGCAAGTTGTTGTCAAGGTCAGGCAAAAGAGGCCCCATTGGAAATGTGGAATTTGGTAAAACAATTTAGAAATTGAGCCTTACAAGCATCCAGTTGAATGAGTCACACAGTAAGTACTGAAGGCCAGGCCACCCGAGGTGGCAGTCTGGAGGAAGTCCACTTGTCTGGAGTGGAGAAGGCGAAAGGAGAGACGTAGGCAAAGAGCTCATGGAGACAGGGAACTCGTGAGACCTCAGGTCCCGTAAGCCAGGGGTGGCAAATCTATAGCACCTATGTTAACGCTTTTCTTTTAAGACAAAAGATGTTAATGTATGAGTTGTTTTTTCTAAACTAAAACCTCAGTATTCAGGTTTAATTGCAGTGTTGACACTCTGCGATAAATAAGTAAGTTTTGGGTTGCAGTTTGGCACTCGGTCTCTAAAAGGCTCGCTATCACTGATATAGGACCTCATTGTCTCTGAGATGAGCAGCCACCAAGGCTTGGAAAGAGACAAATTATGGTATCTGATTCTAGCTGCTTTCTTGAGAAGAGAGTTAGGATAGGGGATGAAGTCATGTTAAGCACAGAGACAAGGAGACTGTGAGGAATTTACTGTAATGATCCAGGAAATGTGGGAGCCTGGCTGAACCAGAGCGACTCCATCTTGATCAGCAAACAACCTAGAGACTGTCGCTCCCCCCCATCCCTTACAGGATAACTAATGATTAATTGTGAATTGTTAGGTGGCTGTTTTGAAGTAGCTAGGAAACTAGGTAGAAACTGTAGTGAACACAGAGACCCAAGGCAGGTCACGCCACTCCTTGCATGCCTGTAGTCTGAATGTTCTGAACTTTATGATGATCTAGGTTGCAAATGGAACAATGGATAATCACTCTGCTGATCATTAGTACATGACGACCACTAGCTCAGATCAACTGACTCTTTGCCTTTGTCCTTTTCCTGTAAGTTTTAAGTGTAAACCCCCCTTTTCAGCCCTATATAAAATGGCCTCTGTTTCTTAGCTGGCCGCCTCTCTGAGCTACTTGGCTTGGGGAGTGCCGTCTGGCCAGACTAATAAAGGTCTATTAGCCAACTTGCCTGGTGTGTTCCTTCCTGGGTGACTCTCGCTATCGGACAAGCTCCTGGAGCCTCGCTGAGCTGCTGAGCCCAGCATCGTGAAGGCCTCTTGGCTGTTCACGCTCCAGGAGTAAAAGTGAGACACGAGTCTTACATCTTGGAGGCCCCAGCGAGATCCCCAGGTGGGAACTGTAAATCCGGCCGAGATTCTCTGTCGCAGGACAAGCTCCTGGAGCCTCGCTGAGCTACTGAGCCCAGCATGGTGAAGGCCTCTTGGCTGTTCATGCTCCGGGAGTATCCAGCAGGAGATTCTCAGACATAGACCTGAAAAGCCTCCGGAGGTAAGATTTGAATTGGTTGCAACCATGTGATGTCAGGATAAGAGGTGGCTGACGAGCCGGGAAGCCTCCCCTGACCCCGGCCCTGACGAGGACTCCGGGTGGAATCTAGGTTCTTTTTGTGTGGCGCCTGTGTGTCTTGTCTGTGTCCTGTCTGTTGAGTGTTAACTTTACATTCATTCCTAGGAACAAGATGGGAGGATCGAGCTCCAAAAATACCCCATTGGACTGTTTTCTCACTAACTTTAAATTGGCTTTTTCCCCTGAGCAGGAAGATAAATATGGAATTAAAGGAGCTCTGAGAAGCCACAAGCCCTAATCTCCCTCCTTGAGTCTGTGTTTAATACCCATGACCCCACCTGGGATAATTGTCAGCAACTTTTACAGGCTCTGTTCACATCCGAGGAATGAGAAAGAATTAGAAGACACGCTATTCGGTCAGTGCTGGGGGGAACTAAGGGGCTTATTGACGACCAACAACAGGCCCGAGTTGAAGCACAACTCCCCATCTCCCGTCCCAAATGGGAATTGAATTCCACCGGAGGTAGGGAAGCTCTTCCCAACTACCGTCAGCATCTCCTGGCCAGCCTTAGGGGAGCCACTTGCAAGCCTACCAATTTGAGCAAGGTAAGCGAGGTCCTACAAGGGCCTGAGGAATCCCCCTCTGCTTTCCTGGAGCGTTTACTGGAGGCTTACCGCACGTACACTCCAATTGACCCAGACGCTCCAGCGAACAGGCAGGCAATTAATCTGGCTTTTGTAACTCAGTCGGCCCCAGATATTCAGAAAGAAAATTACAGAGAATTGAGGGCTTTGAAGGAGAGAATAGGGAAAAATTGATAAGTGTAGCAATGAAGGTGTTCACAAATAGGGATCCACCCGAAGATAGAATAACTAAAAAGATGGCAAAGACAAATATAATAATGATGGCAGAAGAGGGTTTTATACAGAAGGAAAAAAAAATGAAATGGGGAAATAAGAAGAATTTAAACTAATCGGAGAAGAAGAAAATTCTCCAGAACAGGACTTGCGGGAGGTAAACAGCCGGGTGGAAGTAAACAGTCAGGAGACCATCCACCCGATGGTACCAAACTCCTACACACTGCTGAGCCTCATTCCGCCTGCGCATGTATGGTATTCAGTTCTTGATCTCAGAGATGCATTTTTCAGCCTGCCCTTGGCACCAGTGAGCCAGCCGCTCTTTGCATTTGAATGGACGGACCCAAACACTGGAACTACTGGACAATTGACATGGACTCGATTGCCACAAGGCTTTAAGAACTCCCCCACACTGTTTGGGGAAGCTCTCAGCAGAGATCTACAAGAGGTAAGAAAAGCTTTTCCCTATGCAACTGTTCTCCAGTATGTAGGCGACCTCTTAGTGGCGACCACGACCAAGAAAAAATTGCTTCACAGCCACCGAGGGACTCCTGGAGGCCCTACAAGGTCTGGGATATCGAGTGTCCTGGAAGAAAGCCCAGCTCTGCAAAACCAAGGTAACTTACTTGGGTTATGTTCTTGAAAAAGGGAAAAGAAAGTTAGCTGAATCCAGGGTGTCAGCGATCCTTCAGATCCCCACGCCCAGCTCAAAGAAGCAAGTGCGTGAGTTCCTGGGGGCCATAGGATACTGCAGAATCTGGATACCTAGCTTTGCTGAAATTGCCAAACCCCTGCATGAGGCTACGGCGGGGGGAAATACACCCCTTGAATGGACAGAGGCTTGCCAGCAAGCATTCCAGACGCTCAAGACTGCGCTCACCACAGCGCCAGCCTTAGCCCTGCCTGACTTAAATAAACCTTTCACCTTATATGTGGCAGAGAGGAACGGGGTGGCAAAAGGAGTGATCACACAGTCTTTGGGGCCTTGGAAGCGACCTATAGCCTATCTGTCCAAAAGACTTGACCCAGTGGCCAGAGGATGGCCGTCCTGTTTAAGGACGATAGCTGCAGCTGCTGCTTTAACTCGGGAAGCTGATAAACTGACTTTTGGCCAGGATCTAACTCTGATCACTCCTCATGCTATTGAGCCCCTGTTGCACAACTCACCAAGCAGATGGCTATCAAATGCTAGATTGTTGCAGTACCAGGGACTCTTGTTAGAACAGCCGCGCATTAAATTTGCCACAACCTCTAACCTGAATCCTGCTAGCCTGCTCCCTGAATCAGATGATCAACTGCCCATCCATGACTGCCTTGAGACTCTCGAAAATCTGCGGGGAGGACGTCCAGATCTGACGGACCTGGCCCTTCCCCGACCTGAGGCAACATACTACACTGATGGATGCAGTTTCCTACGTGAAGGTGTGCGATATGCGGGAGCAGCAATAGTCAATCAGGATCAACAGGTAATATGGGAACAAGGGCTGCCCCAAGGGACGTCAGCACAGGAGGCCGAACTAATCGCTTTAACTAAGGCTCTGGAATTAGGAAAAGGGAAAAAGATAAATATTTTCACTGACAGTCGTTATGCTTTTGCTACTGCCCATGTGCATGGAGAAATTTACCAGAATAGAGGACCTTTAACATCAGACGGGAAAGAAATTAGAAACAAAGCTGAGATATTGGCTCTGCTGCAAGCCATTTGGCTGCCAAGGGAGGTTGCCATTATTCACTGCCGTCGACATCAAAGGAATTCCAGCCCTGAAGTGATTGGAAACAACGCAGCTGACCGGGCAGCAAAGCGAGCTGCCCAAAAATCAGTGGGGAAACAAATGGTGCTGCTACCTACACCCGTGCTCCCAGAGGGGCCTGAATACACAGAGGAAGAAATAACGGAGATGAGTAAGAACCACTGGACCAGAGGAAAATATGGATGATGGACAACAGATGAAGGAAAGATCGTTCTGCCAGCTGCGATGGCTGACACTTTGCTGAATGAGCTCCATGAATCCACCCACCTAGGAGACAAGAGAATGATGGCCCTGCTACGGCCCCACTTTGTCAGCAGAGAATTAGCCCAGAAGGCCCGGGACAAAGTGAGACGGTGCCCCACCTGCCTCAAGGTAAACGCGAATCGGGTAACTGGGCCCCCAGGGGTCCGATATAGGGGACTGACTCCCGGAGAGCACTGGGAACTGGACTTCACCGAGATGAAACTAGGCATGTATGGTTACAAATATCTATTAGTTTTCATAGACACATTCTCAGGGTGGATAGAAGCATATCCTACTAAAAAGGAAACAGCTGAGGTAACAGTAAAAAAGCTCCTGACTGAGATAGTTCCCCGATTTGGCTTGCCCTTAGCCCTGGGGTCCGACAATGGCCCAGCCTTCACGGCTAAAGTGTCTAAACTGATTAGCCTAAGCATTGGAATTAGATGGAATTTACATTGTGCTTACAGACCTCAAAGTTCAG